AAGACATTTGTGATGCTTAAAATGAACTACCACAGGGAAATTCTGTTTCTCATTTGGAAGCGTACCATATAAATCCAGTGCAGATAAATTGTACACTTTTATTATTTTAGGTTTAGAAATGAAAATGTAAGAATTGCGTCCTTACGACAAATGGAAAATGAATCAGATTTGCTTGACTTAGTGATTTTTAATTTTTTAGAATCTTCTATATAAACTAGCAATTATGATGATGCAGCCATCAAATGGCATGTAATTATATCCATGACATAATGGATAATGTGCACCCTTTTAAATGAAAAAAAATTCCCTAAAGTAATTATTGGATGATGAAAATAAATTAATTCAGTACTTAAAGAATGAAAATTACTGTGATCCCTGAAGCAGTCTATATGCATATATAGATTCTTTCATGTAAAAAATTGCAACAGAAAATTGCTGAAATATTAAGAAAATGTAGCAGCCACTGCCTTTTCTACTATAAATTCAGTCTTACCACTTAAGATGGTAAATTTCCAGAGAGGCTGGTAAGCAGATGTTTCATGGCTAGTAAAAGTTGGATCAGGATTCGGGCCAAGTACTCTTTGTCTCTGGGGCCCACACACTTAACCCCTAACTAGAGCTGCAGCCGGTAAAAACAAATTTAGTAGGAATAACCTTTCTTCCTTCTCCCTCCCCTTTTCCCCCCACTGTCCCAACCACCCAGCGAAAATAGATTTGTGTTATAAAATTCTAAAACGCCAACTTAAATACGCTAATGTTGGAGATGACTTTGCTAAACTATACATACTTCTAATGCATGGCAGTTGTATCTTGGAATATTTCATATTACCATTGCAGAAGTGCTCTGTTTTACTACATTGTTAAAACTGCTTTGATCTTTTAGACCCCATCTGTACAAAAATATTCACAGTAAGGGTTGATGTTACCTATGAAGGAAGATAGCTGCTAGTGATAACCATGCACTTAATCCAGTTGATTCTATGGAGACAAGGCAGCCCCCAAATCATAAACTGATCATAAAATAGTTTATTTAATGGATATTTGTAGACCCATGCTCAGGTTTTCATAATGGTTGTTGTGCCATAGAATTGCAATGTTTCATAAAATTTATTAGCTACTTGCCTTTTTTTTTAAGATTTTATTTATTTATTTATTTATTTATTTATTTATTTATTTATTTGAC